AAGGCCGTGCCCATGCTGAACACGATGTCCCCCGACTTGCTAATGGCCACGGCGCCGCACCGGTCGGGGATGACCTCCGGCCGGGAGAGCAGGTACTCCACGGCCTCCTCGAAGTAGTCTAGCTCGATGCGGGCCGTCGTCTTCGGCAAGTCGTCGTAGTTGAAGATGGCCAGGGCGAGGCTTGCGAATCCTCTTGATGCTAACATGGCTGCCAAGAAACGCAAAAGCACATTAAATGCAGAAGGGCCATGGATATATATATATATATATATATATATATATATATATATATATATATATATATATATATATATATATATATATATAAGTGATAGCAATAGTTGTTAGATTCTACAAGATAAAGGAAACCGTTTCCCACCTGATCTGAATTCCATGATGCCGCCGACGGAGCCGAACATATCCACGACTCCAGGGAACGGCCCGGGGCCAGGCGGAAGGTACAGGGCCCCGCGGATCTTCCCCTCCCGCACCTGCACGCGTCGCACGCCGGGGCCCATGAGCCGGCGCTCCAACTCCAGCTCTGACAGGGTCTCACGTTGCGCCCCTCGAGGCTGGTGGCCATCCAGGATTCGGATAAAGATCTGGCGAATTGTCACACCAATTTATCCATTAAGGTGTGCTGAGGCTTATTCATACGGTTTATTTATCATGGCACTCTAAGATAATAATATTTCAAAATGCTACACCCCAAAAAGAAGAAATTGGAGAAGAGTAAATAACTACTCCACATGACTCATTATATATATTTCTACATTTATCTTCATTAAATGCAAAAAGATAATGTCAACATGCAACACAAATGAACCCATGAGCACCACATTCAGTGATCGCACACTGCTCTTTTGAACAAACCTTCCACGGCAACTCCGGGTTCCGACGATACAGTCTTAGCGTCGACAGTTCGTGAGGCGCCGGCGACAGCGTAGTTAAAAGGCCCGCGGGAAAGACGCCGCTGTACGAGCCACCCACGGCTTCCGCCACGCTCACGTCCAGCTTCCCCTCGACGTCGGTGACATAGTGGGCGTGGGAGCAGAACTGGAGGAAAGGTACTGTTTGAATATGATGTTTGTTTTTTCAGTGATTATTGGCTCGCATATGTTTATCTGTTTTTTTTTTTTAAACAAGTAGCATTCTGAAGGATTAAATCTGAGAGAGAGAGAGAGAGAGAGAGAGAGAGAGAGAGAGAGAGAGAGAGAGAGAGAGAGAGAGAGAGAGAGAGAGAGAGAGAGAGAGAGAGAAAGAGAGAAAGAAAAACAATTTTGCTATAAACGTCATCAATTACTTTTCAAAACTCTCAGTTTTCGACCTTTGGGTTATAATCCCTTCACCTCACCAGATACAATGCCAGAGAACTTTATCATAATCAGACCTGCTGCCGAGTTTTATGCCCCGCTAATGACTTCATTGTAATACTAGATAGAGACAAATGATGATGATTTTTCAAATTATTATTTCTCGTTGCTAACTGGAAGAGTTGAATTTCAAGGGCATTAAAAAGCCATAGAAAATTGCTTCTTTATTAGAATACTGGTCGTTGAGATTTCCAGTGAACCATACCCGTCTATTGCTTTCCTTGGCACTACCTCTAGAGTTCTGATGTTAACGAAGTATATATATAAACAGTGATTTCACTAAATGTTTTTTTACAGTACAGCGAACCAGGGCATCAATCGTTCTTGTGCTGCTGATACCAAGGACTCTCGTCACGAACGTGCTTGACCAGAAAATTTCTCATCCGTGGCCACAGGTCCTCCTGAGCAACACAGTGTTCTAAAGGCCGTCCTCCCCAGACGATAGGCACGCCCGTGATCCTCTCGGTCCCGTCCTCGCCGCCCACGACGGGAAGATGCCTGTGGTACGAGTGGTGGATGAGGGCGCCGTACGGAGGCTCCAGGATGTGACCCGCTCCCGGGTACACTTTCGTCTCCAGCTTCTCCGTCCGGCCGAACATCTCCATTCGCTCCCGGACGCTGTGGACGGGAACGTCGCAGGACCACGCGTCGTCGTCGCCGCCCACGACCAGGAAGTAGGTGTCGTCGTCCGCCAGGTTGATGGGGATGAACTGCGGGTGGTCGGGCGTAAGCAGCTGGATCATCTCCCTGAGCGGGTAGAGCCGACCGTGCTCGTCCAGCCGGATGAAGCTCAGGTCCATCTTGAAGCCCTCGAGGATGGTCTTGCCCTGGTAGGTGATGACGGAGTCGTAGGCGACGGGCGAGCCGCTGATGCTCACCACGGCCTTCACCTCGGGCACCCACGTGGCCAGGGTGAAGGCGATGTCCGCCGCCTTGCTCACGGCCACGACCCCGCACCTGTCGGGGATCACGCCCTCCCACGACATGAGCAACTCGGCGGCCTCGGCGAAGTACTCCAGATCGAAGCTCTCCGTGGTTTTGGGGAGGTCCTCGAAGGCGAAGTAGGCCAGGGCCATGGAAGCGATTCCGCGGGAGGCCATCATTGCTACGACCGGGGAAAAAGAGAT